GGCCAGGCCCGCGCTGCGCCTCTGGCCTGGCCCAGAACACGCAGAGTCCGTGCGGGGTCCCTCGGCAGCGCATCGTCCTTAGTCTTTTTGGGGCAGGACCTACATCCTTTTAGTAGTTTCCAGAGCACCAAACTGGCATGTTACAGCTGCACGGTAAGGGCCCAAAACACCGAACAGCAACCCCCCAAAAAAGGCACATTGCAAAACACAACTTCCACAAGAAGACACACCTGGTGTTGGAACGCAAAAAAAAAAAAAAAAAAAGCACTTTAAAGGCAGATAAAGACACAGCAAGATCAGCTCAGAGACTACCGCTTTCGCATGACGAAGCGGACAAGAATGTGGAAGGAAGAGCCCTACCAAGGCAGCTGGAGGTACCAGCGCTTCCCCCTCCACCTGCGAGGGAGGCTGCTGGCCGCGCTGCGCTGTGGCAGCACCTCCGCTCCGCAGCAGCAGGGCCCCCTGCTTCAGGCCTCCCGGTAACTAAGGTCAGTAATTAAGGTCCAGTCATCCACACAGCTGGCTATGAACACCGGTCCCAAAACACCTGTACATAACCACGCCGCAAATTGTGGGGCTTCAGGGGTTGGTTTTGGGGGTGGGGGGTTTTTGCCCTATAACCCTAGTTACCTATGCATTTCCTCACATATTAGGAAATGCATAGAAAAACTAGGAAAAACAAGAGAAACCCAGACTATGCTTTTCTCCTGAGCTGTAACAACACTGTAGTAGTTGCTACCATCCTCAGAATATCAGACTGACATACACAAAAACTTATAACCACCGACAGACAAAGTCTGGTTTTGAACACATACATCAACCCAATTAGCAAATCCTCAAGTCTTATCAAGCACTTCTGTAATACACAACTGGCAAAAAATAGCAAGAGGAATAAATGAATGTAGCGCTTCCCTTCTTCCCTCTGAAGCCTCGAAGGCTTGATTTCCAGGAAGGGAAACTACTACAGAAAAACATCCTTTTTATCCTGACAGCGATCAACAGTTTCATTTATAGGTCTGCAGAAGTCATCATCATTGGAAACAGAATCTATGGAGTTCGTCAGGAATCACCAACAAAACACATTACATAAATCTTGATATCTTTTGGTCTTCATATCCTTTAAAAGGGGTACATTTCAAAATTTGTAACTGAAAAAAGGGGTCCATATACCAACCTACTTAAAGCAGACTGAAAGCCTTGTATTGATTTCAGTGTTCTATCTATTAATCCCAAAGAAAACTCTGACACTGTCACCCACATTATCTCCAGCAAAGATGTGCACTTCCTGCCCCTGCTCCATTTGTCTTCCAGCAGTAGCATCCCCGTGCAGAGCACACACCCAGTAACCTACACGTTTCCCTCTTGGGAGATATCACAGTTAGCATTTTTTAGAATGGAATGGAATTTCAGCTGGAACAGACCCACAACGATCATCTTGTCCACCTGCCTAACCAATTCAGGGCTGATCAAAAGTCAAAGCATATTATTAAGGGCATTGTCCAAATGCCTCTTAAACACAGACAGGTTTGGGGCATCGACCACCTCTCTAGGAAGCCTGTTCTAAGGTTTGACCACCTTTCGGTAAAGAAATGCTTCCTCGTGTCCAGTTTTAACCTCCCCTGGCACAGCTTTGAACCATTCCCACGTGTCCTGGCACTGGATCCTGGGAGAAGAGCTCAGCACCTCCCTCCCCACTTCCCCTCTTCAAGGTGTAGAGAACAATGAGATCGCCCCTCAGCCTCCTTTCCTCCCAAACTCTAGACACGTTGGAGGACCTTAACTTCCTTCTTAAATTGTGGGGCCCAAAACTGCACACAGTACTCACTGTACTACACATAGTACCCACGGTGAAGCTGCACCGATGCAAATGCAGCATGTTAAGTACGGTAATTTCATCAATTACTAACATCAAATTTGCTTTCTCTCTAGAGAATCACCAGGTATTTTTGTCATAATTATTCACTAAGGACAAGCATAGCAGATAGCACACAAATCACGCACAGAAGAAATGCCACCGGCCCGGGGTGACACAGCTCAGTGTCTGTACAATGTCAGTACACTGAGCTGTCCATATGGTGCACTGAGCAAGCCAGAAAGACTAATTTGAGAAAACATTCTCATGTGTATTTATAGTCTCACACTCTTCAAACTACAGTATGCAGCAAAGTCAGAGGAGTATAATTATGAGTGGGCAGGATATTAGGCTTATTTTTATGATGCCTTTTGTCTGACATACAATTATGTTGAGGCTCTGTCTTAGTTATGGGACGTGGTTCTCTACCACAGAATAAAGTTGTCTTGTCACTGGGTCTGGTAAAGCTCTATTGTGACTAAGATGATCAACTTCATGCTATTTGTAATACCATTAGGTATTCTGCCTCCTCATTGCCAGGATCCGTGTCCAAAGCATTAATATTTTTGGCTACTCTAGTCTGACTAGTAATGTGAAAAGTACCATTAGCAACTAGAGTTTAGCACTCATATGAAAATGAGCCTATATTCCACTAAGTAGGAAAAATATATAATCCTAAAGAGATAAGAGAGTAAATATTGTGCCGTCTGACCTCCTTCTATCCCATGACCACTAATAAGCTGCCCTGCACCAGGAAAACAAACAAAACTATCACTATTGTAATGACCTCATTTACCTGAGCACCCCACTTTCCCTAAGCCATTCCAGCCTCAGAGGGAAGAACTGCAGTAGCCATGCTATGTAGTACCCTCGCCTTGTGATCGATACTGGGGGCAACTGGGTCCCAGATGCAAGGCATCTATCTCAGACACTCAGCACGTTGGCTACCAATACCAAAATCGGCATGAAAACATAACATAGGGCAAATGCTGGATATAGAATATTAACATATGACAGATGTTTGCCTTTTCCATACTCCATTAATGTACATTAATTTGATAATGGAAGTAAAATCTCAGAACAGAATTGCATTAGGGAGTATCTATGCCAAAGAGTTGGGTTTGGTTTTGTTTCAGTAAAACACAAAGCTGATCCTTATACTGTCAACTACAATTAACTCTGAGGACAAGATAAGTATCTTGCATCACTTTTTGAAAGGATGCTCATGGTCACACCACACCCAGTGACCTATCATGGGTGCCCACCTTCCCGGGACCCCCACGCAGGTAAAAGTGAACAGAGGCTTGGCCCCAACAAATTAAGTGGGATAGTTTCTAATGTCCGCTTTCCAACACAGCAACTCATCGTGTCTAAAGGGCATCTGTACAGTTATTTTTCTGGCTCCTATGAAACCTGGGGCAGTTGTAAAGGGAGAGAAAACATCCCAGTACTGCTCCAGAGAAGTAGGAGCACAAATTTATGGCACTCTCTTTCCTCTTCCTCCTGCAAGGCTCTCAGTCTTTTCCTTTCTCCACCGATTGAATAAACATCACTGCAAACCCACAGCTGGTCCTTGGAGTTGTGTCCCAAGTCACTTGGAAGCAGTCGAGAGGAGAGGGGCCAGCAGGGCCTGCCAGTGCTCCTCCGGCAAGCCCTGCCCAGCGTCACGGGGAATCACACCCGGGGCTGGCATTCCAAACGGAAACTCTGGCGGGCAAATTCCCTGGCATTTAGAAAAAGCTGGTTTCAACCAAGAGGCTCTGAGGGCTTAAAGATGAGCTCAGGATGATTCGAATAAAGGTTTCCAGAGGAGAAGGCGAGTGACTGAACAGAGTCAGCATGATCGGCCTGAACGAGAATGAAGGATGCTGAGCCGAAGCGAGGCGAACGGCCGTGGGACCCCAGGCAGTGATCCACGCCATGCTCGAAAGCCAGGGCACAGCTCCCGGCTCGGGGGGGAGCAGGGCTCCGGAACCTGCTGGGCCTCCTGCTCCAGCACGCCAGGCTGGCTCCGGGCCCTGCGGGTCAGCACGCAAAGTTACTAAATAACTAAAAACTCACTAAAGCCCCAAATCCAGTGGGCAAAACAGAGAAGGGCCCAGTTCCTCCGGGTGGGCCGAGCGCGGCCCCGGGCGGGCAGCTCCTCACAGGGCCGCCTC